ATTAAAGCTTTTGCGCTAGATCCGGAAAAGATCTGAAATTTAAGTCCGCATCGGGCAAGAACCTGTAAAAATCCAGAATTTTAAACTTTGAGGTTTTTGACCGAACATACCGTTTTCGATATTACTTTTCGATGCATTTAAGCACGTATTATTGTATTGTATTCTACCAATTGAACAAAGCTAGGTAACCAAAACCCCTATTCTTAGTTTACGTTACCCACCCCATCCCTATCCATTTTCAAACAAAAAATTACCTTTCCTTTTTGCAAGCTCATTCTAATGTATGCTTGTGTTCTGTATATACATAATAAATGCACCATACGAAAAGGTCAAATATAATATCCGACGTAACATTCTTAATAAGGTATGCGAAATACATCTCCTTGAAAAAGTGTTTTTTATCTTATAGTATAGTAACACCTATTATGTAAAAATCTTTTTCTTAAGAGATTATCAAAAAACAGGAACTTGCTGCGATATAGTACGCCATATTAAAAAAAAACAATTAAACAATAAATGTAGCGTTAAACAAGGTTCCTTATTTACGCGCAAAACGTTTCTACCATAAATAAAGTTCACGCTTATTTAGCGGTGCTCGCTCCTTTTGTTGCTGATACTGCTGCACCAATAACTTTTCTGCGGTTCAAAAATAAGCCCATTTTCCTAATACGATCTAGCGAGCATTAATTGAGAGGAAAAAAGCGTGCAAAAACAAAAATGGGGGAAAGGGATAGGATTAAGGCACAAAAGCCGTATTTGTCGTGTTGTTTTCCTTAATTTTAATAATTAAATGTTGGACAAGAACTGAATAATTCTTATTCTCTGGGTTCTTATCCTTTTATATACCCTTATTTATTGAGCCTAAACTGCACCAAACTTGATTCGACAATTTTAAATTTCACGGTCCTTAAAGACTCGTTGTCATTCGTAAAGGACGTCATATTGTCACCTATCAATTCCGATAAATCGAATATTTCTAATGGTTAACATGGAAAAAAAAAGGGAAAACTGATACAGCCACTGCATAAATCTCAAAAATCAGAAAAAGGTAAACAACAACCTTATTTATGCTATGCAGTGTTGCATTTCTCTATAAAAATTTAAAATCGTTAATTTTTAAGATCCTCACGTACGTGTCACTAACGATGTGATCCCTATCGATAGATATAACTCCCCCTTTTCCGTTTATTGTCGCACATACGATACATAACATTACATAGACGCAAAGCCAAGTCGTACACTCTCCATTATTATAAACCCTTTGTAAACACAAAATAAAGATTACACAACTTTCCCGCCAAAAACTTACTTTTTTTTATAAATGAATTACGAAAAAAAACGTGTACACTATATGTCGCACGAACACATATATACTAGAAATTTAATAATAAACAGAAACAGTTTTTTGTTGCACTAATCAAACGGGGAATACAAAACCGTGTCACTTTTCCCTTGTTATGAATGTGTAGTAGACACTTTTGTGTGTGTTATCTCGCGTGATCTTATTTTTTTGCAGAGATAATGGACAATGTTGCGTTCGTTATCCGAGGATCCGTTGTAAAAATCGGAATCGGAGATTTCTACGTTAATATTTGTATACGTTACTTACAACAACCTAGTTTTCAAAAGTTATTTTATTTATTATTTATTATTATTATTATTATAATATTATGTTCCACAATTATGCGAAATTCTTTTTTATAAAAAATATTTTTTTGGTATTTTCACGAAAATATATACAAATGAAAATTCTTAAAGGGAAAAAACGCGACCGCCTATTGTCTGTCGCTACTTATAAATTTTCGCGTGTTATTAAAAATAATAAAGATAATAAAATGATTTTTTTTTGACATTATAAAATAAGTAAATGCAAGCTAAACTAAATTTTTACTTTCTGTCGTGGAAATATAATTAATTAATAGAGTATCTAACTCGAGAATGTTTCGCGTAAATAGGCTTAGATTTTGTTTAAGTTATTGAGATGAAGGAATTAGGTTAATAGTGTAACATGAAATGAGTGAATGAATGAATTAGTGGGTGAAAATGTATAATGGATAAATGAATGAAAATATACAAGAAGAAGGGTAAATCCTGAAGAAGAATCCTAATTGAACGAGAAAAAAATCACCGAAATACTTTTTTTTAAATCGAGAAGAAAACCTACATATTATTATAGTAGACACACCATAGCGTCAAAAATGAAGAAGAAATCGGGAAAAAGGATAAGTGTCGATAAAATAAAAAAGCTGAAGAAGAGAAGATTGTTCATGTTAAATAATAAAAGAAAAAAACTGTACAAATAAACAATATGTGATGTTCTTTGCGATTAATTAATGATGATTATGATGAATCAAAGTAGCAATGTTCAATTAATGTCCATACACATTGTCTGATTGATTGATAAATTCATTCACTCAAAACAATGTCTCACTTATCAACTTGTTTTCCATAAATAATTATTTACATTGCTAATTAAAACGAAATTTGCGTGCGTGTGTGCCTATGAGTGTACATAGCAATTCGAAAATTCTGAACATAAATTTAAAATCAAAATTGTGTAAAATCGATCTCTCGCACATCTTCAACTCGAACTATCACGTCTGCGTGCCCAGTTCCAAAAATCACCTTCCTTACGTGATCTTCGGGCATATATTCCAACTCTCCATCAGCACTTTGCAACACAAATTGTTTACCAGGCGGTGGTTGTTTTTTGATAGCGAATTTGAGTAATGAGTCAAAAGTGGTAGTGTCGGTCACGGCGATATTGGATTTATATATTTTAGTGGGTGATCGAATTGTTATGGCCTTCACCTGTTGAAATGTTGGCGAAGAAGCAAGGCTCTCTATTTTGTAATAATGGAGGAAGAATTAAGTGAATGAATTCTATAAAAACCCTGAGGAAAGAGAATATCAACCTGAAATCATATCGAGATTGCCCGGTCCAGGATTTGTAATTCGTGGGGGACTTTTTCGTGGAGTCAAAGGAGCGATTGGTATCGATGTTAATGGATCGATATCTGTACCTATGACTAGTGGTTTTTTCACTAAACATAAGAGATAAATTCGGGTTGAATATTTTTTAATCATAGTTCAATCAGACCAAGTTAATTTAAAAAATTACCTGTACTTCGTCGTGTATACACAACCAACTGCAAATCAGTTACCATCGTTGAATACGCTGACCAAAACTGTCTAAATGTACTCTCATCGATCAAAGGAATTAGACGCGGATCACTCCATTCAAGGCGAAAAAATATTTTCGTAGCGTCCACGTCACCCCATCGTTTTGGAAATCGTGTTTTTGCCACCAATTCATATAAATTTCGAAGCGATTGCACAAAGTTGTTTGGATCAAGATTCGCAAGAGGTATTTGTGTTGCGCTCTCAAGTTTTACATCTGATGCATCAAGGCATACTAGTACCACTGAGTGAACTAATAAAAAGTGACAAATGTGCAATCAGCAAAAAAATATCGTAAAATTATTATGAATGTAAAAAATCCTTACCATATCCATTATTACTAATGCTGGGCGTATTGTTAGAGCTAAGGGTAGCATGATTAATATTATTACCATTAATATTGCTATGGTTATTACTATTAGTGTTAGTATTGTTGCTGTTATTGACATGGCTATTAACAACGTCATCGCTCATTATGTTCTCCTGGTCAACCATTAAATTTGATCCAGCAACCAACCCCTCTTCAGAAGCATTAGTAGCGTTATTGGCCTCCATAGCTTTTCTTTCAATTTTTTTTTTTCCCTCAGCTTGTTCAAGATCTTCCAGCACTTCACGCATCATTGGCTCAAAAACCTCGGAATCCCATCCGTGACCCAACGCCATGTTATAACTTTCAATATGTTGAAAATACTGGTCCAATGAATTCGCTTTGATGCTGTTTTGTTTTCGCTTCACTTCAATATATTCTTGCATGTATTCTTTGGTGACTGGGAAAAAGTTTTCCACTTGTGAGTGTAGAGATTTCAACACGTTCACATAATTTTTGACACCGCAGCGTGAGGCTCGTGTTGTTAGACTTACAGCGCGCTGTCGACGACGTGGTTTCGCTATGTGTAGGTGCTTTCTTGTTGCCGGCATTATTTATTAGTTTGATGATGTTTTATTTTATATGACGTCGTCGTCTTCGTCGTTGTTCGTCGTAGTGTGCCTACCACTACTATTTTTAGGGTATTTATAAGTTAAATGATAATTGATAACTGATAAGTTTAATTCAAAAGCTTACACAGTTTTATCACGACGTGCACACGATTTTTTAGTTGAGAAAAAAAAATTTCGATTTTTTAAGTATTTTAAGGGTATATTTTAATAATTGATTTATTATTATTTTTTAAGTGTAAAAATGAAGTGACGTAATGCAAGGGGGGAAAATGAACTATTATTTTTGTTTATTTAGTTTTATTAGTTTAATAAGTGCTTTGCTAATTATTGATGATGATTGAGTATGTAGTAGTTGTGGGTAGTTCTCGCCCAGTAATATTTTTTAAGGTATTTGGGATGTAGGATGTATGATTGTATATGTAATGTAGTGTGTAGTGGAGAGAGAGAGAGAGTGAGTGAAGAGTGAAGGGATGGGATGAGAATGATGATGCAAGAAAAATTGGGATTATTTCAACAACAGAAAAAACGATATATAAAAAATGTAAAAAAGGGAGAGAGTTAGCTGGCTGTTGTAGATGGGATGAAAAAATTGGGAGATTTGAGAAAAAAAGGCGCCACCCCGCCACTAGAACAACAATAGCCAATTCAAGATTCATTATTTAAAAAAAATTGTCTTCCTATCTATTACTTTACTGAACTAGACTAGAACTATATTATTACTATTTTTATTTTTTCGCCTTTTGATTTTTTTTTTTGATTTATGCAAAAAAAAACGTCACCCGGTGTTGTTTAATGTTAATGACAACAACAAAGTCTAACTTTAATAACCAGTTTTCTGAATGAATCTGTTGATATGTATGATAATTGATCCGACCAGCTGGTCGTGTGAACTAGAAAATAGGCATATTTGACAATTCCAATATATTAAATATATAAATATATATATATATATATATATATATATATATATATATATATATATCTACTATATAAATATAATAAATACATGTATATATATATATATATATATATATTTATGAATGATACGCACAATCAATCAAGATTATGATACAATAGGCAATTTAATAATAATAATAATAAAATTATTAAGAACAATGTATTAGTGATAATAGGTTTTGTTTTAAGAACCCGCGTTCTTTTTATCTTTTTTTTTATACACGTAATTTTTCCCTTCCCTCTACTCAAAATAATTCGCGTTTTTTTTGTGTGCAGTGTTTGTATCACACCCGTGACCATAATCCCATTCAAACAATAATAATGCATGTTAACTGAAGACTTAAGAATTAAAACTTATGATGACGAGTCAATAATGATTAATAAAACAGGAAAAAACCATTTTCTCAATTAGTCATCTTTTCCTTAATCATCGAGGTCTCGCCCATTCTAACTACGCGCATGTAATTTCAGATCTTTGGTGGCAGAAATTTGAGTTAATTTCACGACGAAAATAATGGAATACAGACAATACGTACAAAACAAATAAACAAGTAATAATGATACTTTCCCATATTTTTTAATTTATCACAACAGATTTTATAATGATTAGAAAAGGACAATTTAATTAAACTCCACCAGTTCTTTCATTTTCTTATTGCCCTATCCCGGAATCCGTTACCGAAAAAATTAAGCATGTAACGTATAATGATAAATCAAATACGATATACATGTATATATCTCGCTCTCTTGTACCATATTTAAAAGAGGGGATTTGAATGACCTGGTTGTGTTCAATTTATTTTGTCCATCATTTTCCATTCCGGAGGTGCTGTTCTCCCAATTTGACGATTCGATAGGCAATGCTATTAGATGACACAGCTCATTATCATTATACTAGTGTACAGCATACATACAATAACGATAATGTAAAAGGGTGAATTTTATTGTCATAATTAGAATAAGAAAATTGGCGCGATTGTGGGCGGGAAAGTATTCTTGTTATTAACCTAAAAATACATATAATAATGGAGTGATTCTACTACAGCAAAACATTAATATTACAAAAAACCTAAACTCATGATGATACATTCTATTTTTATTCGGGCTAAATCAACGAATGAAATATCTCGTCATTTTTTTTTTTTTTTTACAGTACTGTGGATATTTAACGCAGGGTTGCAAGTAGAATCGTTGGTGATACAAAAACTTCAATCAAACTACGTAAAAGTGGACAATATGAATTTTTTTCTTTTTTTTATATGAACATTATAACAATATCGATTTTGAAAATAGTGAAAATGATGAATCACAGCATGTATTAATTACATAATGAGGTAATTAGTCTGCTGACCTGGCATTTGGAATTACCATTTCTCTCCAAATGTATGTATCATACCATAAATTAATAATTTCTCTGACATTGAGAGAAAAATACGTATGGTGCATAACATCTAAGCTCATTAATATTCTAACTTCAAAATAAAATCCGAATATCATTAAGACTATTCTCATATATTAAATTTAGAATTTACTTATAATTAAGGAGTTTATTGAACATATTATGAGCCAAGTGCAATAGAGACGGTGCAAATTGTAAAATACAATTTGCACCGTTTATATTGCACTTGGCCCATAATTTGTTCAATTAACTTCGAATTATTAATGAGTTTAGATGTTATGCACCAAATTCGTAAAATACGCCCATTCATCATTCCTAATATGCAAATAAACATCAAGCTATTTGAGACTAAATATGAATTTTAAGCTCTTAAATCCAATAATAAAATTCGGTTTTGGTCTATGCTTCGAATCTATTTAGGCAATTTTGTTCATAAAACGGAATTCAAAAGTTTGGATTGTTGGGCATAATTATCATATAAATCCAGTAAAGTTAATAGAATTTAATCAAAGTTAATTATAATCCAAATTGTGGTTTAAAATGCAACTTATAACCTTTTTTTCTTTTGACACATACGTGTAAATTATTTGAAATCGTAAATCTCCAAATTAAAGTTTCGGAATTTACGCTCTTGCAGTGTCGCCGTATTTTTCGAAATCATATTCATGTACATGTACATCTACACATGTATTATCGTTATTCACTTCATATTTAAGGAGTCGTTAAAACGAATATTTGACATATACCTCGAACAATGAAAGTTTTGGATAGCCTTAATAAAGATAAAACAATTGAGAATTTTATTGTAAATTCTGAATAATTCTATTTGAAAAACCAAATATATCATTTGCAACCTCGAGTAGCTTTATCAAAATAATGAAATTTTAACAATAATTAAAACATTTAAATATAGAAATTTATTGCAATCAACTTTACTATATAAATTGAAATAACCATCAAGCTTATAAGTTTAATTCAACCAAGAAATTTGAGTTACGTAATTAAATCATCGATTTATGCGGATTGGCATGTCGATGTTAAAACATCCCCTTTTTAAACACAAAATGTTATAAGTGATTATATAAGAAAAATTCTCTTACTGATTACATGTAATAGCTTTTTAGTAAATTTATATTTATATAAGAGAATTTTTTATTTTTTGTAATTTTAAAGGAGTTATAAAAATTGGCACCAAATTATTTGACTTGCTAGCATTAGCTATTCGATATGATTACATGTACTATGTAATTATTATTTTAAATTTGGCACTCCCAGAATAAATAAGAATAGATGCTGTTGAAAGTTTCGTCTTCATCTGTTAAAAAAAATTCATGATCCAAGTAAAATGAATATTACATGAACTAATTTAATAACAATATAGCTATTTGTGAAGAATCTTTGACATATTTGCAATAATATCAGCCAAAGATTAAGAATGATCTAAGTTAATGGACATTTCAAGATTGAGAAAAGTTTTTGATTTATCGAATAACTGATAATAAATCAGAGAATATTCCATATTAATAATATAATTCAAGAAAGATAAAGAATTTTTAATAAAAAAGTTTCTTTAAAAAAATTTGGATACACATTAATATTATTAATACAAATTATTATGAATCGCTATTTATAATCTTCAAGCATTATATTTATAGTGCATTAAAAATTATGAAGAATATTATAATTCAAAGAATATTATTATATTTAAAAGAATTCTTTGTAAAAATAAATTATTTTGATTTTACTGGCTTTATTTATATAGTTTTTATAATATAGACCAAATATATAATCATTTTATATATTATAAAGAGCGATTCACTCGCTTTATAATGTATTTATTATTTAAATTACGTAATAAATATTATAACAGATGATTTATATTATGAATAAAATTATTAATAAAGTTATAATTATTTAATTAATAATATTTTATTTTTAAAGTATTTATCAAGACTGGATTGCTACTTACTTTTTATACTTTTCTAATAATTTGATAATTTAAATTATTTAATATTTTTTATATTTTTAAATTAATATTTATATTATAATATTATCTTGGTATATATCTTATTATCTCTTCAAAATAATTATTATTATTATTATTATTATTATTATTATTATTATTAATTCTGATTTTGGTGAAACTCTTTATTAATTATATTTAATAATTTTCTTTGCTTCTTATTCAATAATTTAAATATATTTTATTATAATTAGAAAATTAGAAATTATTAAATATTTTGATAAATAAGTTTACTTTCTGAATTATAATACTAATTATAAAATTCAAGTAATAAAAAAAATAATTTTCATAATATTATAT